ACATTGTTAAGCACTAAATTAACAATAAAACAAAACGGGGGCCACCAGGTGGTGTGGTGGTTAAAGGCACTGGATTTCCACATGGCCAATTGTAGTTTGAGTCCCGACCTGAAAAGCTTTTTTGCTTTCCTTTTCTATCGCTCTCCCTCTGGTCAAATTAAAAAAAAAAAAAAAGTAATAATAATTCTTTAAAAAAACTATAATGAAAAATAAAGTGATGACAATCTCATGTACTGGGGTTTTTTTAATCATTGCCTTCATTCTTTTCAGAGCTAAGAATAGTCTGTTTTTTTGTTTTTGTTTTTGTTTTGAGAGGTTTTTGCTATAGGGCGCGTGCACTTACCAGAAAGACAGAGAACAGAGAGCTAGAAAGCAAGAAATCACCTCCCCCCCCAGGAGGGATGGCCATGCCGCAATCCCTTCTCCATTCTCTTCTCGGGATCTTGGGCACGCACGCATAGGCGCCCAGCGTGAGTGTGAGTCACCACCAGGTCCAGGACTTGAACCACAGTTGGCTACATGGGAGTTCAGCGACATAGCCATTACGCATACCTGCAGGTCCCCAAGAATGGTCTGGTTTTTAAAGTTGACTTTTGGGGTTGGCAGGTGGCGTGGTGGTTAAGGGTGCTGGACTCCTACATGGCTGACCGTGGTTCAAGTCCCAGACCTGGTGGCTTCTTTTCTCACCTTCTATCTCTCTCTCACTCTGTCCCGCTCTGATCAAATTAAAAATGAAGTTAAATAAAAACCAATAATTTTTTTTAAAAGGTGACTTTCGTCATTCAGATACAATAATATTTACATTATTATCCACTAAAGTCAGAGAATTTGACTCTGGGTACCTGTGAAACAGTACCAATATGATAGTGGTAGTAATGCATTTGTTTTTGTACATAAATCATATCTCGATATATTTCGTTTTAGAGAAAGAGATTGTTGCTATAAGGTGCATGTGCTTGCCAGAGAGACAGAGAGTAAGAAATCATCTCCTAGGGGAGATGGCCATGCTGCAATCCATTCTCCTTCAGTCTCCTCTTGGAATCTTGGGCACATATGCACTCACGCTTAGCATGAGTTTTTGTTAAAAGAATTATTTAACTTTCTTCCTTCCTTTCTCTTTCTCTCTCTTCCTTTTTCTCCTTCTCTCTCTCTCTCTTTCTCTCTCTCTCTCTCTCTTTCTTTAAAGTTCACCAGAGAGAGACAGAGTAAGAGAGGGAGAGAAAGGGAAAGTGAGAAAGCAAGCTGCTAGGTCCGGGACTCAAACTGCAGTCGACTATGTGGGAGTCCAGCAACTTTAACCACCACGCCACCTGCCAACTCCCCTGCCTGCCCCCCAACACCCCGCATGAGTTTTAGGCCAACTGGTCTGGGACTCAAATCATGGTCGACTCTGTGGACATCCAGCCATATAACCCCTATACCATCTGCTAGTCCCTCTAGATATTTTTATACAAAGAAAGTAAGTTAATGTCAGTAACTCATTCACCAAGAAAACATTAAAATTACAATGAGTAGAACTAACAGTTGGCATAATGGCTATGTTGCTGGACTCCTATGTAGTCAACTGCGGTTCGAGTCCTAGACCCGGCGGCTTAAACTCACACTAAGCATGTGTGCATGTGTGCCCAAGATCCTGAGAGGAGAATGGAGGAGAAGGAATTGTGGTGTGGCATCCCCCCTGGGGGGTGATTTCTTGCTTTCTGTCTCTCTGTCTCTCTCTCTTTCTGGTGAGCGCACACGTCCTACAGCAAAAACTTCTCCAAAAAAAAAATACAATGAGATTCACTACATATACATTGGAACAATGAAAAAACTAAAACAAAACCAAAAAGACAGTGATAACTGAAATGCTGGTGTGGCTGTAGAGAATCGGAATCTCTCATATACTGCTGGTAAGGAACCTCTGTAAAACAGTCTGGCAATTTCTCACAAAACTATGCACTTAGAACATGACTCAGAAATCATACTCTCAAGCATCTGTTCCAGAGAAATGAAATTCTATGTTCATACAAAAACATGTAACAAATGCTCCGAACAGCCTCATTCATAATAGTAAAATCCTAGAAACAACCCAAAAGGTCCCTCGGTGGGTAAATGGGGGAACAAATTCTGGTACATACATACAATGACTGCTACTCAGTCATTAAAAAGGACGTGCAAGGGCACCAAGTCTAGTGAATAAAAAAATCAATTTCTTTATCTTCATCTTTGTGACAATTATACTTAAACTATAATTAATCTGTCTGTATGGGTCTATCTAGTTATATGCATATTTTTGTTAGTGAGAGTTTCTCTCAAGGTACTGTCAACAATGAATCTCTAGACCTTTTTCTATATGGAATCGTATACAGAGCTACCCAGCTTTAGAAAGCTTTTCCTTAGCATATAACACTACCATTTGCACTTTGATTATGTTTGATTTCTACAAATAATTTCCACATTGTGACATCTAATCCTTGCAACATTTTCAATTTGTAACCTATATTCCTGTAACTTTTAAAGTTCTTATTAATTTATTTCTCCCATGAGAGAGAAAGATAGGCAGCCCCAATGGAGTCTCATGCCATGATCCTCTTCCTGCCCCAGCCTTGCCAGCCAGTCAGGATCATAGGCATACTTTTCGGCATGTATATAACAATCTGGAAACTGAACCTTGATCTTCCATATGGATCCAGAAGCCTAGAGCTGTGTGTTACCACTATGTCACTGGAGCTTCTGGCCATCTTAGTATTTGAGAATAGCAATAATGTCAAAAGTTTTAGTGAAGTTCTTATATTTTTCTGTTTTTTTTTTAACAATTATTTGTTTAGTATTATTTACTATTAATTTTAAAAAAATTCCTATAGGGCACATGTGCCCACCAGAGAGAGAAAGAGAGAGAGAGAGAGAGAGAGAGAGAGAGAGAGAGAAAGTGAGAAAGCAAGCTGCCAGGTCTGGGACTTGAACCATGGTTGGCCATATGAAAGTGTCCAGCACCTTAACCACCACACCACCTGCTGGTCCCAAAACAATTCATTAAAAAAAAAAGTAGGCTACCTAGTACTTCATCCATGCCACCAACCCTGCCCCAGTACACTACTGTCTTACACCTACCCAACTTAATTTATAACCCTCTTGTAGGGCAATAAGTCCTAGCCTGTTACCTTAAGGCAGATTTTATTAGATGGCCAGCTATAGCAGCTTTTCTCTTCACCTTTTGCCACCTTCACCATTCATACACATAACAGATGTACACATACCACTTTTCTTTTTTCTTTTTTAAAGAACTGTAGGGAACCAGCAGTTAGCGTAATGGCTATGTTGCTGGACTCCCACGTAGTCCACCGCGGTTCGCATCCCAGACCCGGTGGCTTAGAACTCACGCCGGGCGCGTGTGCGTGCGTGCCCAAGATCCCGAGAGGAGAATGGAGGAGAAGGGATTGCGCCGTGACCATCCCCCCTGGGGGGTGATTTCTCGCTTTCTGTCTCTGTCTCTCTCTGTCTGTCCGGTGAGTGCACGCGCCCTATAGTGAAAAATTCTCAAAAAAAAAAAAGAATTGTTTCATTCAATTTTATTCATCATTGTTATTATTATTTTTAATTTGAACAGAGAGAGATAGAGGGAAGGAAAGTGAGGAAGCAAGCTGCCAGGTCTGAGATTCAAACCATGGTTGGCCATATGGCAGTTCAGCACCTTAACTATCACACCACATGCTAGTCCCCACAACACCTACTATCTAAATTCTACTAAGAAACTGATCAATTGAAGGGAACTAACAGAAGAAAAATTTAAAGAACTGTACAAGATGGAGCCAGCAGATGGCTAGCAATTATGTCGCTGGACTCCCAATAGCCGACAACAGTTCAAGTCCCAGACCCGGTAGCTTGAAACTCAGTGTGGGTATGTGTGCATGTGTGCCCAAGATCCTAGGAGGAGGATGGAGGAGAAAGGACTGTGGTACAACTGTTCTCCTTGGGAGAGGGGGGTGATTTCTCACTTTCCCCTCTCATGGTCTCTGTCTTGCTCTCTCTCCCACTACATGCACCCTAAGGAAAAACCTCTTAAGAAAAAAAAGAAAGAAAGAAACTGCAGAAGAATACCCAATTAACAACAAAATAATTCCAAAATTCCATTGAAATTAAGGGATAAGTGTAGAGATTAGGTAATTAAGCAGATTTTAGAATAGAAATGAAAATAAAAGAAGCAAAGAGCAGCAGTGAACACATTCATAGATGAGAAAAGGCAGTAAAATTGTGTTATATCATGGCCACATACTGCATTTTCTCCTCAAAACTAAAAGTGGAATGAAAACACATAAAAATCAAAATCAAGAAGAAATAAGATATTTCATACTTGTGTGGTGATGGCCAAGTACTAGGATCCTGAAGTACCACACCCAGGGCATAAAGGACAAGAGTCTGTGAAAAAAAAAAAAAAAAACAGTCTAGTTAGTCAAAGGCCTAACAGACAAAATGACTCCCAGAAAGCCAACTCATCCTAAAACTCTTTTAATACAAATAATAAAGATGAAATAAAATCATAAAATAAATACAAAAAAAACCAGGCCATTATTTTGGTGATTTAAAAATAGGAAAGGCCTTAGCATGTCACAAAATCTGGAAGCCATAAAAAAATAATAGGCTTAATTATATGAAAATTCAAAACAGGCATTTAGTTAAAAAAAAAATTACCATAAGGAACATCAAGAAATACAGAGAAAAAAATATTTGCTGTACGCAATGGCTATGTCGCTGGACTCCCCTGTAGTTGACCATGGTTCCAGTCCTATACCTGGTGGCTTAAACTCACGCCGGGTGCGTGTGCACCCAAGATCCTGAGAGGAGAATGGAAGAAGGGATTGAGCCATGGCCATCCCCCTGGGGGGTGATTTCTCACTTTCTATCTCTATGTCTCTCTGTCTTTCTGGCGAGCACACGTGCCCTATTAAAAAATTTGCCATATAATTGACAGAGGTGGTTTGTATAATATTTATTATTTTTTTGGAGAGTTTTTTTTTTTTTAACTATAGGGTACGTGCACTCACCAGAAAGAGAGAGAGAGACAGAGAGAAAGAAATCACCCCCCTGAGAGGGAAGGCCACGCTGCAATCCCTTCTCTTCCATTCTCCTCTCAGGATCTTGGGCACACACGCACATGTGCCCAGCGTGTTTTAAGCCACCGGGTCCAGGACGTGAACCGCGGTCAACTACAGGGGAGTCCAGTGACATAGCCATTACGCCAACTGCTGGTCCCAATATTTAAAAAGACAAGCTTATTAGAAAGAGTAGAAGTTACAAATAAATAATTTATAAAGGAAATACTTTTAGTATACACATGAAAAGTTGTTCTCTACAATGTTAGGGAAAAGCGAATTAAAATAATGATATAGTTTCACATATAAGAGTCACAAATGCAAAGATGGCTAAAGATTTGGTGAGCAAAAGCAGTCTCATATATTATTGCTAAAAGTATAAACTGCCTTTTATAGGGCAATATAAATTTAATATTCACATGAACCTTGACCGCTCAATACCTGAACAAGTATACAATTTGTAATAATTTAAAACAATTAATGTAGACCTACACTTCAATTGGTGGGGACTGTTTAAATAAATTATTACATATTCACACAATGAAATACTATGAAGCCATTAGTAATTATGAGTTTGGGGCTGGCCCATGGCCTGGTGGTTAAGAAAACTGAATCCCACATGGATGACCACGTGGTTTGAGTCCTGGGCCCAGTGGCTTGAAAAACACACTGGGCACACGTGCATGCATGTTCAGATTCTCGACAGGACAGAGAAATGGAGAGAGGAGATTGCGGCATGACCATATTCCATTAGGGGGTGCTTTCTTCCTCTCTCTCTGAGAAGCACACATATCTTCTGTCAAAAGTTTGAAGAAAAAAAAAAAACACATTTGCTGTGTATTAGGTGCTAGTTGTACTAATCTGTGATGCACTTAAGAAAAAGAAAAAAATGAAAGAACAAGATGAAGAGTAACTTTTTACATTTTTCAGTTTTTAAAATATGTAGGTGACCTAATTACAGTGGTGCAAGTGAGAGGGCACCCCTGTATACTGACTGGGGCCGCATGAGGGATCTTGATCTCAGCCCAGTCGATACAGGCTGACTGTGACAGCAAGGGATTCTGGTCCTGGGTAACTGCGAGGCTGGGGAAGGGGGAGTGTGACAGGGTGACACTTCGTCAAAAAATACCTC